TTTCACCAATCTCAGAGTGGGTGGTGCCAGCCCTAGAATTAATATGCTGTGCCACCCTTCCCTTCTCTGAGCTTGATTACCCCAACTCTAAGATGAGGGAGTCAGACTTGCCTTGCAGGGCCTCTCGGTGGCCACCTCCTAGCACTCTGTGCCCTGGGAAGATTTCCCCACTGCCAAGCAGGATGAAATTCTCACAGATTGCTCTGGCTTCTTGGGAGCATGAATGCTCATTAAGTGCTTCAAGACTGGCAGCTGGCACCCAGTGTGAGGTGTCACTAACTCCTCACCCAGAAACCCTAATGCTAGCAGGAGGCCAATTTATCTCACGGCCTTGAACCCTAATCTTCCTTTGCCTCTCTCCTGTTAAAAATGAAATTGTAAGCTGCTTAAATGAAGGGGTGAGAGGTACAATGCCTACCAGTGGGCTGCCCATACACAATCTCTGCCATGGACGCTCAAGAGCTGGGAGAACGGAAAGAGGGATCAGGCTGGCAAAATCCTGGAGTCCTCATGTGGTCCCTGGGTCCAGAGGGCTTGGGCACACCTTGGTCAAAGCAGGAGAAGCACACTGTCCCAAGGGCCTTATATCCTCCTCAGAGCAGCTGCATTTGAAGAATGCTGCTGCCTATGTGCCAGGCATGAATATGAGCACTTCTCATGTATTTACTCATTTTGTTCTTAAAACAATCTTGTGAGTAGGTACTGTTGTCCCCGCTTTATAGCTGGGATGCCAAGGCCCAGAAAGGTTAAGCAACTTGCCCAAGATCACACAGCTAGTAAGTGGCACAAGAGCATGCAAATCCAAGCTGCCTGGCCCCAACAGTCCATGCTCTTCACTTAGCTTATTTGAAATTCCCCCACATCCTAGCAGCAGCCCCTTCCTATAGGTGAGGAAGGTGGGCCTCTGCTGCTTATGGCTGGTGCTTCTCAGAGGCCACTCAGCTGCTAAATGGCAACTCAGAGCTTCCACTCAGGCCCACTGGGTCCTCAGTCCATGCTATTTCCACCTCCTCCACCCCCTCTGGACACTTACTGTCCCATCTGGCCACCTCTCAGAGGAAAGGGAAAGGGGCCAGAGTCCAGGTGAGCAGCATGCTGTGTCCTCTTTGCTCACAGCCTCTGGAGTCTTGGGAACATTTCCTGACAGGGCCTGCTCAGCAGGAGGCTGGTAAAAAGGAAGCCGTTTTGACACTGAATTGCTTAGGACACAAGAACTGGCTTGAGAGACACCTTACCTAGTGGTCTTGTCACAAAGTAAGAACATATTCAGGGAGGGGCACATGATCGGTTGGGAGGGGGATTCAATTTGGTGCAATGCCACACAGGAAGGCCAGGCTGCCATCTGATGTCTTCGCTGCAGCTCCTGTAAATCCTGCAAAGCCAGGCACTGGTGTGAACTCATTACCCTTTCCCGTATGCAGCCCTCCTGGCCCCGCAGGCCTGGAGAGGAGGCTGCAAGAGCCCGTGTCCAAACAGCACCAGGGGCAGCCCAGGGTCCCCTGCACATCGACTCAGCCAGGTGGGCAGGGCGGGCACTGCTGCCAGCTGATTACTCCCCAGAGGGCCCAGTTTATTGGAGGTCACTGATGACGGCCGCAGCCAGGGTCCAGGAAAGCTGTTGCCCAGCCTCCCCCGTGAGTCCAGAAAAAGAAGTGGGGTAAGACAAGCGTGTCATTCAGGCCAGTCCATCTCCTTTTATCTTTGGGAATCACCTGGCTTCAAAGCCCCACATGGGTCTACCCCAAACTTGCCTCCCCCAGGCTCCTAGATTGCCCCTAAGCCCTCTTCTCTGCATCACAAGACCCATTTGTGGTAACAGTAATCATAACCCTACTGGTTAAGCAGGTGCTGTGTGTCAGGCAGGCCTGGGCTGGGGGTTGATGTCTTTATTAGCTCTACTTTACAGAAAAACTCAGGCTCAGACAGAAATGGCTTGCCCAAGGTCACACACCAGGAAGTTGTGAAGTCTGAATTTGAACCCTGGTCTGTTGGGTTTGAGGCACAGAATCTATTAGTAAAGCCAGTGAAGGACTGCTCACGTGCTCACCTGTGATCACCTCAGAGGGACAACCTCTCTCTGAGAGCACCTGGACAGACCCCAGGGACCCGGGGAGGGTTGCCAGTGTATGTCTTGGCAGAACTGATGGAGTTTCTGCTGTGCCATTTACCCCATATCCCTAGTGATCAGCATCGGGCAAGGCACCCAATAAGCATCTGTTGAGTGAAAAAGTGAGTAAATCAAGACCAGCTCTCCCGGCTGGTGCCTGGGTCTTTACACCTCCTTTCCTAAGAGCCGGACCCACTGTGGCTCGTTTTCTGACTGCAGAAGGAAGGCTCTGCTCACTGCCAGGACTGCTGTAGGCACTGGGTATTGGGGCACCCAGGGCTCTGCCAAAGCCACACTTGGGAGACAGATAACCCATGGGACCTCAGAACCCTCTATGGCAGTGGTTCTCAACCTGTGGGTCGCGACCCCTTTGGCGGTCGAACGACCCTTTCACAGGGGTCGCCTAAGACCATCCTGCATATCAGATATTTCCATTACGATTCATAACAGTAGCAACATTACAGTTATGAAGTAGCAACGAAAATAATTTTATGGTTGACAGGGGTCGAAGACCATCCTGCATATCAGATATTTCCATTACGATTCATAACAGTAGCAACATTACAGTTATGAAGTAGCAACGAAAATAATTTTATGGTTGGGTCACAACATGAGGAACTGTATTTAAAGGGCCAGAAGGTTGAGAACCACTACTCTATGGGCTCACATGGGCAACTGCCAAACACATTTCTTGCAACGGAAATTGTAAATCACTTATAAATACTTGCAGGTTCAGGCCCACTTTCATAGCAGCCCCAGTGTGAAGGATGAGCGAACAGGGGCCCAGAGAGGTTAAGTGACCTGAATTTAGTCACACAGATAGTTCAAGGCAGAGTGAGGACTTGTACTCAGGTCTTCTGACTCAAGGTCCAGTGTCTTTCCACCATTCCAGGCTCCCACTCTCCACCATGCTCACTGATTGGAAAGGGGCAGGAGGGCTGAGGTTTACATCTGGGGCCTTGAGGAATTTTGCAAAATGGGACTTGGTTTAGCCTAATCCCTCCCAGAGTGCTCCCCATGGCACTCCCTCTACTCCGGTTGACAGTCTGGTTAATAGCTACACCCATGCTGTGCAGGGTCAGAAATCAACAGCCTTGCCCCAACCTCCACCAATTCCCTGACTATCTGCAGACGGTTAGGAAGAAAGAGAGAAGAAGCCTCCTGGATCACATCCCTGACTTACACTAGAAGCCAAAGCTCCAACAGCCGAGACCCACACCAGCCATCTTTCCCAGTGTGGATGTGGGCTGTGGGGAAAGTCTGTGTTCTAGGCAGGCAAGGCAGCTGTGCACCTAACCTGGAATCCACACATTGCCTATTTGAGGGTAAAGGAACATCTGTCATCCTCCCCTCTCACTCAGGAGTCTTCTCTAGGCATTTATCCTAAGACAACATTTTATGCACAAAGATGATAATTGCTGCATTATTTTTAAGAGCGAAAAATTGGAAACAACCTTTGTCCAACATTAGTGGATGGTTAAATGAATTATGGCACATCCCGGCAATAATTGCAACCACTAAAAGCATCCTTTATGAAAAAATTTAAATGAGTTAGGGAAACACTTATGATATAACATTAAGTCAAGAAAGCAAAAAGGACATAAAATTGTATATAGAAGGGGAGAAAAGCACACAGAAGACAAGATTGGACGGATATGAGCCAAGATGTCAATAGAGGCTGCATCTATGCCTGCTTTACATTTTTTTGATACATTCTCAATTCCCTACAGTCCTATAATAATTGGGGAGTGGGGGAGCTACTCAAATACACCCCCCCTCCTCACAAGGGGAGTGAATTGTCTGAACAGCCAAAACAGTTGTGAAGCTGGATGGTTAAGCAGTGGTTCTCAACCTTCTGGCCCTTTAAATACAGTTCCTCATGTTGTGACCCAACCATAAAATTATTTTTGTTGCTACTTCATAACTGTAATGTTGCTACTGTTATGAATCGTAATGTGAATATCTGATATGCAGGATGGTCTTAGGCGACCCCCATGAAAGGGTCGTTCAACCGCCAAAGGGGCCGCGACCCACAGGTTGAGAACCACTGGGAGGAAGGCAGGGAGGTCCCTTTTCCCACAACACCAGTCCTTCTGCCAGGGCCATACACTGGGGGGCTGCCCCTTGTAAACCTGCTTTTGAGATTTTCCTGGGACTTGTGATCTGATTTGGTTCGTTGGGTCTCGATTTCAGGAGCCTATGTCTCTAAGGGGTGAGGAATACAGGTACTGAATTTTTCCGTCTCCAGCCCCAGCTAGCTCCTGCCTCTCAGGGAGAAGGGAGTCAGGCTGCCTCCAGCATCTTTTCACATAAGAGACCTGCGTAGAGGGGAGCTGGCAACTTGGACGGGTGTTAAATTTGAAACCCAAGGCCCTGCCCACAATAAGGCACCTTGCAGTCTCTTTGGCTGAGGGAGGCTTTTGAGGTGCTGGGTTAGGAGAATCGCAGGTCAAAGACCAGCCACCGACACACAGCAGTACCTGTGCTACTCCCTCACACTTTCACCGAGTCAGAGAGCGAGAGACACCCCCCTGGACCCTAAAGGCAGCGTATGCGGCCATCTCATTGGAAATGTGTTCAGTTTCTCTGTGAAAACACCCAATGTCGTTTTACAGCTATCCTTGGAAGGGTGGGTTAAACGAGTCTCCATCACTCACGGCCCCCACTTACATTTCCAAGTTTGTTTGATCTAAGAAATAAGTGATCAGGGCATACAAAGAAGTGTGCGAGGAGAGTAAGGGTTGCCCCAGATCTAGAAGGCTCAGAAACCTGAACAGTCCAGAAGGAACCCAGACTTGGAGAAATAGGGACACAGCTCAGGAGGTAAAAAACAACAACAATAAGTTCAGCTCAGCCACCAGGGGGGCAGTGGGCCTCCCCGAAGGCCACTCACCGAACATGTTGCCCTGGTAGCCGTCCTTTGTGAGGGGCTGGAGCTCGTTTTTCCCCATCGCGTAACGCTTGTAGCTCTGCCAGGCGAACTGCATCATCTATAAGAAAAGGTGGGCAACATGAGCATGGCGCCTCCCAGGAGTGCGGACTGGCCTCCCAGCTTTGCCCTTTGCAACAGGGTTTGAAATCACATTCAAAAAATAATCTTCCAAATTGAGGAAAATGACTTCCTCTTGCTATAATTTTATTCTTAGTGACAGCTGCCCACAGGCCATTGTCCTTGGACAACCCCACGTGTCCAGAACCGAGGCATAGATTTCCTAGAGAAGACAGCCGGAGCCAAAGCAGCGGCCCGCCTCGTCCAGGAAGGCGCCTCTGCTTTGCTCTGGCCTCAAGCGATCCTCTGAAGGAAGGAAACAACTCACTGAATGATGCCTGTTATAATCAAATAGAATAATCCCCGAGCGAAGGATAGCGAAATCCATTTTGTAGAAAAGGAGACAGGTCATACATGAGGCGACTTGCCCAACGTTACACAGTGAATCAGTGCTGGGAATTGAACTCATGCCTCTGGCTCCAAAGCATTAAGACTGTCCCCAAAGCCTTGGTGCTGTCCCTACATGAGTCTCTTCGAACTCCTCCAACACTTGGCTGGACCTACCCTGGCTGTCCCAGGCTCCCTGGTACCCCAGCTGGTCACTGTTATTGGTTGTTTTCCTGGCTCTGAACTATAAACTCCTTGAAGTCAGGAACTACATGGACCTTGCCTCAGTTTCTCCCACAGCACCCAGCACAGGGCTTGGCACACGTAGGCAGCCATGAGTATCTGTCAACGTTGTCACCGAGTGTGTGAGTTGTTACTACATGAAGGCAACTATGTCAGCTCCTTGGGAGCGTTACACTGGAACTTGGTCCCCTGGCTGCATTTGGCACTGAGCTGGAGGAATGCAAGGTGACAGTGGGCCCAGCCCACTTCCCCAGGGTCTCCTTTATTTGCTTCTATGGTGCCACCTTTTTGCCTTTGCATGGCAGCTGCAGAGCAGGAGAGCAGAGCAGAGCTCTGGGGTGACTGTGGGACCGAGGAGGGAACCAGGGCAGGGAGCTAAGGGACAGATGGGTGGGGAGCAGCTTGGTATAGTGCGAAGAATTCTATCTCTGTCACTATCTCTTTGACTTTGGCCAGTGACTAAACATCTCTGAGCCTCAGTTGCTTCATCTTTGAATTGGGAATAACAGGCCTGCTTTACCACAATCCTGAAAGGTTTAAATGAAATGCCAGTGATCAACAAACACTGGTTGGTCAGCCTTTAACATACCCATCTGGTTCTCCTAGCCTCTTCTGTCCACCCCTCCTTCCATCCATCCTATAGGTCCTCAAACTTCAGTGCCCACCAGAATCACCTGGAGGGCTTGTAAAAAGGGCCTCATTCCTGAGTTTCTGGTTCAGCAGCCTGGGGTGGGCCCAAGAGTTTGTTTTTCTGACAAGTTCCCATGTGACGCTGCTGGTCCATGGGCCACACTTGAGAACCACTGATCTATCATATGTGTTTATTTTTTGTCACCTCACTTCCAGGCTTTCTTTTGTTTTCCTTCTATCTCTGGCCTCCCTTCCTGCCTCGGCCCCCTCCTTCTGGACATTTCCACCTGCATCCTCTATGTTCTGCAGCTCCATCTCTTCTAGGCACATCAGGGCAGTAACTTCTGCTGTGCTTGCTGCACAGACCAGGAGGGCAGACGTGACACATCTACGACCTGTGCTCTCTATCAAATGGCAGAATAACCTAGTACCTCTCCATCTCACTGTTGATGAAACTGAGGCCCATAAACAGAAAACGCTCAGGGCGGCACAGCCAGCAGGGCTGGAATCCAGCTCTTTCAACTCCTGGGCCACCGGACCCGACCCCCCTTCCCCCAACCCGTGCCTGGCCCCACGTGACACACATGTAAATGTCATGATAATGCATGCCAAGCACTTTGCATGGGCTTTGGTCCTGGTTCCATTCCTCTGTTATTTTCTATTTATCTTGAATTGCCAATAACAGAAACTAATTGCTGGGTATGAGCGCTTGAGAAAGTCTGGTCTCCTCCCTCAGTCTCTCTTATGCGGAGCCCCTTGAGTAAGTCAGTGTGAGGGGAGGGAAGGGAGGTGGTGGGTGGAAGAGCAGCAGGAGGGTGTTAAACATAAATGACAGCAGGAAAAAAGGAGCAGAGGTCTGGAGGGGGAAAGACAGTACCCTATCCTCAATATCCCCTCTGCTTAAGGGAGGGAGAGAGATGTGGGTGTACAGGAGTAATTAAGAAAATCACGGGTATCTACATATTCTCAAAGAAGCTGTCACTGCAGGGATGCCGAGATGTTTGGAACGTGGGCCGTTCTCATAGCATCCACGTCAATGAAGGGGAATGATGGCACCAGTGATCACATGCCACTGGGGACTGGATTCAGAAGGCCATCAGAGTTTCTCTCAATCGCATGCGCGTGCGCACACACACAGAGTACACACAGACCCGCAAACCTTGGGTCTTCTACTTTGAGTCATGAGTGGCTCAGCCCAGGCACTGGGTGAGCAGGGAACAGGAAAGACCCCCAGCCAGGAAGTCCTAATTTCTCTTTCTCACGCACCCAAAGCAGCACTCACCAGATGTCCTGTCTGTGCTTGGCCGCAGTTTGGACTGCAGCTATGTGGGGAGTGCTCTTCCGACTCCCACCCTCTACTTCCCTGCCAACTGCTTGTCTTCCTTCAGACCCCAGCTGAAAGGGCACTTCTGCAGAAAGACCGCCTCCCCAGCCAAGCCCAAGTCAGGACCTACTCCTACCCCACATTCCTGATAACCCAGTCCCTTAGCAGCCTGCAGCCAAGCTTTTATGCTTGCAACTATTCGGTCAGTCCCCTTACCCTTATTCATTGCCACAAGCCCTGCAACTCACTCAGAGACATCACAGGTATATGACTGCTGTTCATTAAATATTTGCTTAATGAATATAATAACACATAAGAAAATTGGCTCTGGAGCTTAATATATGGCTGGGAGACTCAAGGTGAACCATACATGGCACCGGATAAGTAACAGGTCAGAGGGAAGGGTCTTATGAGCAACAGAGGTGCTCAGAAAAGAGTAAGCCTGTATCTCAAGGGAGCTTTGTGGGTACCCAAGTGTCCTGATGGCCAAGTAGGACTGTGAGGGGCACAAGAAGAGGACGGCACATAGAAAAGCTTATCTTTTTTATCTGGATAGTTCGGGGGCTTGACAGGATAGGTATTGCTCTCATTCAGAAATAACCATGCAATGGCTAAATAAAGTATGAGATGTAAAGTATTAAACAGATATTAAAACTTATGTTTCCAGTTCTGGCCGGTGTGGCTCAGTTGGTTGGAGCGTCATCCCACGCACCAAAAGGCGGTGGGTTCGATTTCCAGTCAGGGCACAGTCCCAGGTTGTGGGTTCGATCCTTGGTTGAGGTGCGTACGGGAGGCAACCGATTGATGTTTCTCTCTCTCTCTCTCTCTCTCTCTCTCAGATCAATTTAAAAAATGATGTTTCCAAATGTTAGGGATGTAAAAAATGCTCACTATATATGAAGTGGAAAAGCAGGATACTAAACTATATAGTATGAAACTCACTGGCCTATGTATAAGTTTATTAAATTAAAAAAAAAAAGACTGGAAGGAAATATAACGAAAATGCTGACAGTGGTTATGTTTGTCAGAGTTATTTTTTCCTTCTTACTGACCTAGGTTTTCTATGGTTAATATCTAGAAATGTTTATAATGTGAAAACTAAAGGTTGTTAAAGTGAAAAACATAGGAATAAATGATAAGGTGCTACTCCTAAATCAGAAGGGAGTGCTTGGTGGCTGGCCATGGGGTGGATGGGATGGAACCGGGTTTTGATGAGAGAGAAAGCCCACCAGCAAGGGAAACAACGTACGTAGAAGCAAGAACCAGAATCTCAGAGTCAAAGAGAACGAGAGTGCCAGAGACATCATCTAGTCCCAGAGCCACACTGGACAGGACCGTGTGAGACCCGTGCCGGGGAAGTGACTGGTCACGGCCAGGACACAGACGTCACTAGCACAGTGCTGATTGTGTCTCCAAACCACGGGCCAGGACACAGACGTCACTAGCACAGTGCTGGTTGTGTCTCCAAACCACGGGCCAGGACAGTGAAGCAACAGACTGGGCCCAGGGCGGCCTGAGCTGTGGCGCGAAATTCGGGACAGAATCAAGAATATGACTGTAAGAATCAAGAGACATGAGACCAAATACCAAGAGAAAGTATACCTCTGCTCCCACTGGGTTCTAGAACTACACAACAGGCAGTTATCATTTGTGTATGCGCATGTCTGTGCTAGAGACAGAAGACAGCTCTAGATGGTCTCTGGAAGCCCCTCCCTTCCATCAGTCTGTGATTTATGGATTCACAGAACACCTAACAATAGCCTGCAAAGCCTTCCCTTCACCGAGTCCTGCGAAGGCAGCAAACAAAGCTCCAATGATAGGGAGACAGGCAGAGCAATCGGAGCTGAGTCCTAAGACATCTTGTCAGTTCTTTCTCAAATGAAAGCTCTTCTTGTCCACCGGAACAAATTACAATGACATGAAATCTTAAAGTGAAAAATAGTTTACTAGTGTGAGGCAGACATTATTATTTTATTTAAGATGCTCTTTCTACCTGTCTTGGAACTCTAGGATTCTCTCCTGCAGAAAAGTGACTAGAATTCAGTGTGTCGCCCAGGCACAGAAGCCCACCCCAGCCAGGGAGCCTCAGAACAATGGAACCAAGAGAGAAAGGTTGCATTTGAGGAGGGAGGCAATGGGAATACTGGCAGACCACCTCCAGAGGGGAAAACTAATAGAAAGTTTGCATTGGAAAGTTCTCTGAAGGCACCTGGGGAGGAAGGAGGTGAGCATGGAAACAGTGACATATTCTCCTTTTATTGCCTGCTCTTTTTGTTGTTGTTAATCCTCATCTGAGGATATTTTTCCATTGATTTTTAAAGAGAGTGGAAGGGAGGGGGAGAGAGAGAGAAACATCGATGTGAGAGTTTCACATCGATTGGTTGACCTTCCGACAACCAACATATATGCCCTTGACC